CGGGGCAGTTTTTGAGTCCGCGGCCCGGATCGCCCTCCCTGCCTCATCGCTGCTCCAGCCCCAGGATGCAGAATGTGATCAACACGGTGAAGGGAAAGGCTCTGGAAGTGGCCGAGTACCTGACGCCGGTCCTCAAGGTAAGCCGGGCGGCTCTGGCTTGCTCTGCACCATCCGCCTAAGTCCCGGTCCCCAGTATGGGGCTGGTGTAGAAGGTTGGATGGGGCGGAACGCGCCGCCGTGTGCCGCCCCTCGCCCTGGGCTTCTGGGCCGGTCCCAAGGCTTGTTGGCTCCCAGGCTTGAACTTGAGCGACGGGGTACCTGCTGTCTCCACCGGTCATTCCTCTGTGCGTTGGACTACTATGGGAGGTGGTGTGGAGCAGAGATAGAACCCTGAATCCTGACCTCCACAGTCTTTTAAACAGGTATCTGGGTTAACCTTTGAAAAGATGACAGCTCGGTGGCCAGCGGCATGCCTCCTTTTCTTCCAAGTTTCACAGGGAATTTTGATTATCCGGTGATATAGATTTCCAACTTCTTTTGGTTTCAGAGGAACATAGTGAATTGTAACATGTTAGTAACTCTGAGCGGAACTAGGCGAAACTTCTGGTTTCCCAAGCTTTTAAAGTAGCCGCAACTGATTATTAGCCCTGAATTTGTGTGATCCTGTGACAGCAGCTCCGCAGGAAAGTCTGTGTATAGATTGGACACAGTAGAACCTTTTCAGGGGAGAGTTGTGACACGTTGTACTTCTAAAGTAAATTTCCAGCACTGCCTTCAAAGTTTCCTTACAACTTCTGGGATCCATCTTTTTGTTGTAACTTGGTTTTGCCTTGTGAAAAACGAGCAGTAATAATAGTTAATGAGTGGCAGGTAATTGCTTAGTTTTTGCTTTCGTTCAGTATTTAGCTTTCTGTAAGAATTTTACTAATCTTACTGCAGGCAAGAAATACACAGACAGGTTGAGCAGACTCTTTGATCTCTTTCTTTGACAAAGGAAAAGTCTTTATCTTACTGTTTCAATATTATTTCTAAGACATCTTTGAAAATGATAGCCCTTTGGATCAAGCGAGAAAAGTCTGCAACACTTGTAAATGTTTTACAAGTGTAAATAAAAAGCTTTATTCTTGCTTTGTTTTGTGAAAGTCGTTTTAGTTAAGATTACTCATCTATTTAGAAATTGAGAACAATTTCGACATTGAAATCAAATGCTTCTATTGTATGTTATGTTTCCAGAATATTGTATTACCTGGTAAACAGTATTTTAATTGTGTGCCATTAATTCAGCTTTTAGTCTAAGGGAGAAACATGGGCAAAACACTTCTCAATTAAATATAAAATGACTGTTTTGTAGACCACTTGGATTTTATTGAATTTGTGATTTAGGACTGTTTTGAGGAATCATTTCTTCTCTTCACCAATCTGAAAGGAATGTTAAAAAATCAGTATGTATAATATATATTTTTATGTTTATTTTTTGAGACAGGGTCTCATTGTGTAGACTTACCTGGTCTGGAAGTCACTATGTAGCCTAGGCTAACCTTGAATTCTTATAGATCCACCTGCCTCTGCCTCCCAAGTGCTGAGATAAAAGGCATTTGCCACCATGCTCAAAGGCAATGTGTGGCATATGTTTTTAACATAAACGAAAGCAGAATTAATGGTTGACTTCTTGTCACTCCTGATTTGCAGAGACAGTCCTTCTAGATTCCTTCTAGATGAGGGAACATAAAGGGGTGGGGAGGAAATATCTGGAAAGAAGTGATGGCCCTTTCTTAGGAAGTAGAAGTTTGAGAAGGCATGCTGCTGCCTCTACAGTTGGAGCATGGACAGCCTTCCAGGGGCCACACCTTGCACAGGACTTATCTTCGACTGTCAGAGGCTGGGAGGACTGCTTCGAGAGAATCTTTTGGAGTTACAAGGCGGCTGCACTCAGAGTGGCTGTGATTACTTGTCATGATCAAGCCAATCAAGATTCCAGTGGGTTCTGGAGGTGTTCACTAAGTTGAGCCCCTAACTGAGGAGTTATTTTAATACCACCTTTCCTCTACATAACTTATTTTTTTCTTTATAGTGTGAAGATGAAATTTATCTGGTTTTCAGGCATGCAGCCCATTGTTTCCAGTAGTACTGTCATATAGTGATAATTTGTTGAATAAATAATATTCACAAATGGATCTTTTTATTTTTGTAGACTACCACAAAATCTTATAAGTAAAAATGTAGGATAAAAATTAGTCAATAGCTTCTTGCTATTGGAGAAAAGACTTTTTTAAAATTTTAGTGAAGCTGGACATGGTGGTAGTGATGCATTGGCTAGAAGTCTAGTGAGGCAGGAGGATTGAGTTACACACCAGCCTGGCCTGCATAATAAAACTTAATCCAGAAGAAAAAAAATTAAAGAAAAAGAGAGAAAAAACTTACGGTAGAGATGAGAATAATGGAAAATATTAAATATTAAGTGATTACTACTGTAGATTTCTAATATTACTCAGTTTAAATAAAACATGGCTGTTAATGTGCTGCAGAATGACTTGTTCACTGTGCAGGGTCGCTGTAATCTAAATATTTATATGCTTTTTAACCCTCATGTTTTATTGTAGTACTGATCAATTATACGTCAAGTAATTTCATGTAACTTATCTACATTATACCTATATATCTTTGTAATCGAGGATCAGTGCTATTTTACATAGCACATTTAGATTTTAGTGTTTTGTTTGTTTCGTAGCATACTCTCCATTGTCTAAGAGGGGCAGCATTTTGCCCTCATGACATTTTTTTTAAATGAATGAAGATGGTCTAATATTTTTATTCTTTTTGTTCTCTTTAGGAATCAAAATTTAAGGAGACAGGTGTACTCACCCCAGAAGAGGTGAGCGTTGAAGACACCCTGAAGCCTTTGCCTTTACAATTCTATTATACTAGTGCCTTTTCCTCGTTGTTAGAAAACATCCTAAAGTTTTTGAGGAAAATTATGTTTAGGTAACTATAGTAATTAGGTTGAGAGAATTTCTACTTTCCTGAGCAGATAAGGTATAATATCTTTTCATTTTTCTGCTTCTCATAGTTCTGTGTAGTTGAATTCTGGAAATGCAGGTTGTGAAAGGGAATGGAAATTACTGTTGTATTCGCTTATTTGTACTGCTGTGTGAGATTGTGCCCTGGAATTGGCTGCCCTGACTCTGTTAAACCAAATGTATATTTTATGACATTGTATTGGAAGCCTTGATGGTGCTTTTTCTCCTGACATTCAGCTCAACTCTTGCATAGTAGACACTTATTTTATTTTACCATGGTTTCCAGATTATGTTGAAAGCTAAGTAATGGTGAAACTATGGGGATTTTACCTGCTCGCTATACTTTTTAAACTTTTTTGCATAGAATAATGTTTTGAGGAATTATTTTACTTGTTCACCAGATCTGTATTATGATTTGTCATTCGCTTAGGAGGTTTATCCCTAGAGAAACCTATTCCAGAGAGTTCAGCTTTATGAATAGTTGCAGTTTCACTGCCCTTGCTTCTTAATAAAAGGCAGCATATTTGTTTATACTTGGTCTTCAACATTTACTAAAACACTATTCATTAACAACAGAATCATATTCTTTGTTTTGATAAAACCATAATAAAATAAGTTGTGTTGTGGGATGAGGCTCTGGTTGTGGCTATAAATTAAAAGGCTTCAAATGAGAGAATTAATTGATCTTTCAGTTTTCAGTTATGATGACACCCTCTTTAGTCCAGTTCATTCTGAGTCCTAAGAATGGCTTGATGCACTGATTTTGATTTGTTTGTTTGTTTGTTTGTGAAACTGCCTTTATTCTTAATAAAGACATGTGATGGTATTGAAAAAGCGTAGGGAACCCTCTTTCTAGAACCATTTGTCTAATTTCTCTTAATTTAGACAAATCAGTTAGCTGTTTACATCTAGGCCTCATACTTACCCATCTGTCAAATGAGGGGTTTGGGTTGTTAGACATTCTTGAAAGAACTTATTTGCCTTAGATGTCTTCAGTGTAATATGTTGAATGCTAATTCAGAGTCCATTTTGTTCTTATGGCTCTTATTAATTTCCTCCCCAAACAGGCATTTTCTAGCCAGGGCGTTTGAATTATCTGAAGTCAAGAGCAGAGATAAGCATATGCTGTGTTTGCACACTTTGACTTTATCTCCGCTATGTGAAAATAACTCATTGTTGGATACATTTCTATAGAATTAAGCTACTTTCAAACAAAAATTCATCCTAAATAACCTCATGAAGTATGAGTTTCCCTTAAAAGAATCTAAGGCAAAACTAGCTTAATTTGATACAAAGCATGTAATTTTAGGCTCAGATAGAACATAATTAGAGGATTGAGTTAAATGAGACCAAGGGAGACAATAGGAAGGTATGATTTGCCCAGGATAAATACTACATACTGAATTGAGTTGTTGTTTCTTCTAATTTATGGGCTCTTATTCATCAGTTTCTAGCTGTCTTTTTGTTTTCATTGAGAAATGTGGAAGTATTTATGTTTCAAAAGAGGGCAGCCCATATCTATTGCTGTATCCTTTGGGGAAAAACAAATGCTAGTGTAACTAACTTAAATAGTGTTACAGTTTAGGAATAATACTGTTTGCTAAAATGCAAATATTGATTACATCTTGTTGGACACAGTATTAATCTGTATTATATATTGAAAAATATGGCAAGAGAATATTTATTATAAGAAAGATGTAAGCAATTGGTAATTTGAAATTTAACTCTAACATGTTATTTATTTTGCTTGAGTCTTTGAAACAAGTAATGATGGCTATTGCTAATTAGGACAGACATTCACATGTGCTAATTATTGGTGCAATTCTGTGAGTTTCTTTTTTCAGTTTTATTTCGTAATGTTTGGTTATTTTTAAATAATTAATACCATGAGACCACTAAATAAAATTAATGTCTTATGACTTGAAGGGCAATATAATTAAAGAATCTCCATTTTAAATAATTTCTTTGGCTTGCATTTTCTTAACTTGTTACTTTGGTGACGATAAATTAATTCCTGGCGACCACAAAATTAAAAGTAATACTTGGCAGTGTTCAAATGCCCAGATGCTCAAAACTGAAGGCAGAAAGAAGCTATTGTTTTTGTTTTGGCTTCTATTATTAATTAACCAGTTTAAGTAATTAAAAAAGTATTAAATGAAAGAAGAAAAAAGTTTGTGTTGGGAGTAAAGTTGCCATATCTTAACGCTGGTGATATATCATCTTAGAGTAGACTAGTTTCAGAATGCTTATTGTGTTGAATTTTACTCTCAAATGAAAGTAGACTTTTGGATATATATACTTCTTCAAAAGATATTGAGAAGATGAACTATATCCTTATTTTTTACTGTGTAATAAATCCATAAATGATTCAAAGTTATCAATTAGAGCTGTTGTGACATAGCAAAGGGAAAGATGTACACAGCTTTGCAGTTGTTACACTGTAGTTCTGCTGAGCAGACTCTTGTTTTCTGTTTTTAAAAGGAAGATTTGTGCCCTACAGTAAGGTTTCTTTATTTTTACGAGAACTGAACATTCTTCACATATTAAATTCCTTTTCCCTGGATGTGATTTTTATTTGTGAAGAAAAGTGAAAGCTTATAATAACGTTCAGCCTGCTCAGAAAGCTCAAGGAATCCATTAGCTATTTTCCGTTTTTCTCCTTATCTCCTTCTATACCTCTCTCTCGGGACTTTTTGGACAGGACTTAAGTAGTCCAGGCTAATCTGGAATTCACCAGGTAGCTGGAAAAGGCCCTGAACACTTTTCTCCTCCTTCCACTTCAGAAGTGCTGGGATTACAGGCATGTGCCACC